CATGAGATCTAACGCGCCCATTGCGTAATGAAATATCACACTACAGCCCTTGGTGATTTACTCGCTCAGAATTCCGGCATCTTTATGGTAGAATAAACTTGTTCAACTTTGCCTGTTCGCCGAACTAGGCAATTTGCTTGCAAACGTTTCATCAACAGAGGAAGTGGTACTTTTATTGCTTGTGAAGTGGTTTGTACAAAAATTCCATGTATCTCACATAGCTGGTGGGGAAAAGCTAGAAAAAGAAGTGTTCACCTAATTTGAACTTCAAATAAGATGGGTACTTCTCTGCTTGCTTGCTTTAGATATTGCCAACTGCTGACTATTTGGGTGTATTATTACCCACCACTTTGAGGAATGTAAAAAAACGCCTACAGAAGTCTCCCTTATAGTAGCAAACTATCACTCTTATTTATCAGCAGAGGAAAATGAGATCACATCATTCCAGGGAGACATAAAAGATATGAAAATTTATACATCTGTAAAAGGAAATATTGGGTAAAACAGAAACACGCTGATTTATAAGGAAAGCAACTTGCAATGCATCGTTTTTGCCCACGGTTCATTTTGTCGTCGTCGTCAAACAGCATTAATCACTTCCAATCACTGCACTTCTCGTTCCACTGCGGTGGTAAGGCCATTATTTACCTCAAATATTCTTTTCACGCGAACTGGAGACCGTGCAAATGCTACTGGTCCAAGATTAAGCTCATTCACCTTCCCGTAACAGAAATCACCAGATCTAGAACAGGTCACATACCACCAACACCATATTTGGTGCTGACGAATGAGGAGTTGATTGTGGAATCTGTCAAAGTCACATCTGCGTTAGGACGTAGTGATCATGCCGTATTGAAATTCGATTGTATTGGCTACACCTCTAACTGCAAAAACGGCAGAGCAGCACTCGTGCCACCATAGGCTAGAGAAAGTTGAAAAACCCGGCAGCAATTGAGCAATGAGTCCTCCCAGAAAATGGTGGCACGGAAAAGCTTAACCGAATATCACACTGAAATGACAATGGCTGCGACAATTATGACAACTTATGATAAATCTGAAACTCGGCAATCGCAGCCGAAAAAAAGAACTGGATAGAGCAAAAGGATTTTTCTTGGTGGGAGTACAGCAACTGTCCATCTATTGAAATCAGTGTACAAAGTTTATGCGAGAAGACAGACTGATGTACACAAAACCCGGGCTCAAAAATTCATTTTCAATACAAAATTGCTTTATAAACATATCAAGGCTATAAGTAAGATAAAATGCGGAATACCGGCATTGAGAACGTCTGGACATGTTTCAACTACGCTAGATGCAACAGAGTTCCTCAAAATCTGGTTCGGTCATGTGTTTACTGAGAAAACACAAAGCAATATAGATTCCAAGCATAAGACTGTATGCTGTATGTCACTGGTCATGGTCCCAAGGAATGATTTCACATATTTACAAAGGGGGTTCTCAAAACGATCCCACCAACTACCGCCGGGTTACAGTTTTTCCGATACTGTCGAAAGTCATGGAGGCTATTGTGGCAGATCTTTCGATGAGGTATGTGGGTAAGCATGACATTTTGTACCCTGCACAAACGCTCATGCACCACAAACCTACTTCTTGCAAATGAAATGAGTGAACAAAATCGGTCGACGCAAGTGAGTCATTGGATGTAGTTTATTTGAACTTTTCCAAAGCATCAGATCAAGTACACTACCCAATTCTACTGTCAAAACTCTACAATTACGGAGTAAGAGGTTTGGTTCTGTACTGGATCAAGGAGTTTCTCCGGCAAAGAAGCATCCCAGTTCGTGTTTGTGATTCCTCATTTGTGCCTATCGATGCTGTCCGAGAGCTTCTCAGGGATCCGTGCATTTTAAAACGACCTATCACACTATGATTCGCGGACGACGCTAAAATTTAGAGAACAGTAAAACATTCAGAGGATCACGCGGCACTTCAAGAAACGATCAATTCATCCAGCCGATGGTCACTCGTCAATGACATTGAATTCAACGTTTCAAAATGTATAGTTATTTCCATGCGCAGAAGACTTAATTCACCTATTTTCTGGGGAACCAAATATTACCGCATGCTGCTGATCAAGTCAAGTCAGCAGCAGCTTATGCACCCGGATGGGTTAATTTTCAGCATTTACGCCATATTTGTGGATTCAAATTTATAAAATCCTTACATGAAACTGAAAGCAGTAGATTATTTGTCAATGAAGCAAGCATTTGCGGAATTCTGCGGAGATTCTCTTTGTCAATAAGTAGACGTGCTAGATATGGAAGAACAGAATTACGGTAAGCAGAGGTACGTGAAAATAAAAGTTTAAATCTTGAGCGTGTGGATGATGTAGATACTTGATGTAGAAACTTGGTTGTGCAATGGGTGGTAAGTGTCTGTGAGTATTTTGGCAGTGAAACTTCCGCATGCTTATAGGTGTCTGTTTGTGATAGAATCCGCGAGTTTATCCCTGATAATGAGACTAAATTTACAAATGTGTTTCAGAGATCTCGCCATTAAATAAAGGTCTTTCTTTAACATACCGGGAAAACCACTGGGGGGCAATACAGCCAGTGGGGTAGCACGCATGCATTCACAAACCTAACAATCACCTTATGAGGAACAGAAAGTTATCTCAATCGGAGTGAGAAATATGAAAGCTTTCTAACTTTACGGAATGTGTTTTGAACATGCAGCAACCATGATAAATTGCGTGATAAGGTAACGTCAAGGTATTTTACTACTGTTGATCTCGGTACGGGTTGGTGATTGGCAAATAGGGTGGGGAACCTATCTGTGAGGACTGAATATGGTACATCGACTAAGAGAGAAAACACAACATCTTGACAATTAAGGACATTCAATGAGAGAGAGAACGGAACAAGGACCAAGTTACAACGCCGTTTGGCCTGCTTTGAATTTCTGAACCCTCT